CTCTTGCCGCCTCGTCGAGTACCTGTAATTTGGATGCAAAACAATAAGGGCTGAAAAGAAATCGTGTTGAATCGAGCGATTCAGTGATGCTTGAGAAATCCTTCAATCAACTGATAAACAGCGGAAGAATGAGGTGGATTATGGCAGCATGTTACGGGCTATTGAAAGGGAACGGTCGATGAGATTAGGATGAACTGAACGCCTCAACTAGATACGATCTAACTCTGGATTGGTACCATGAGCCGGGAACAAAAAGTCACAATGTCAGCTTCTTACAGACAGAGGACGGACCCGTAAAGGGAAGGTTTGAGTGGTTATTTAGCATCTGTCTCCTGTGTTCAGGTGCCCTCTCGTGATAGTTCTCTATCAGCGAGGATCGATTACTTTGAGGAACAAATCACTGAGTTCGATAGTTAACCTTATACTGACATGTAGGTTTTAGCTAACTTTTAACTTTAGTTCAGTGTTTATACGGAGGCTCAGGCTCTCAAAAATTGCTCATTGTTAAATGGGAGGAGATTTTAATGCAAGAAAGCGTATCAATAAGACCTTCGTCCAGAATTCTCGAGGTTGACTGTAATTATCCTCATCACCGTCATCGTATCGATTCACATCTCCACTTATCGGCCAAACACTTTCGCGTACGTCCTTTCGTTCGACAGCACCATTGAAGCTGTTCGGGTGATAAGCCGGTAAACCGCCTGAAATTTGATTTTACTTAAGACACCTTCGCGAATTTGGTTTGTTTCCTGGGTGATCCAATCTTCTGCTATGCATTTGACGCCGCCACGTTCCCGGGAAACAATCTGCTTGTAAGTAATCGTTTGAATGAATTTCAAAAAAAAGAAATAGGAAAATTTCAAATATCCATCTCCATCTTCATTTCGCACTTCCTTGCCCTTATAATGCAAACTGACGAGCAACAATAAACGCAAAGCAAAGCAGTCTTACAATTAGCATTGCCCTACTTATCATTTTCTTCAATAGCTTATCAGTCACTAACTAAAATCAATCAAAATCGCTCGCCTCGTACCACTCACCTTGATTATCACCAAGTGCCGCCAGTCCATCACGTTGTGTGTTATGTACTCGTGCACGATATGGACAATTCACTGGCAGTTGCACGTAGTTCGGACCGAGACGATGGAATTGCGTGTCTGGATACGCGAAAAGACGCCCTGAATAGAAAAGACTCTGTTTTGATCTAATGCGAGGGATAAGAAATTTGATCAATTTTTTTGCATGAATTATAGCGAGTGTGTTATAGAAGTAGTGTTTTTTTTCGGTAGAATATAACTTGAAAATGATATCAATTCAGTGATTCCATCGTAATAGATTTCACCTTGAAGCATTCGATCAGGTGAGAATTCAATTCCAGGAACGACGTGTGATGGTGCAAACGCACATTGCTCAACTTCAGCGAAGTAATTACTCGGATTCTTGTTCAAGACGATTTTACCGACTGGTATTAGTGGGAATTGCTTATGAGACCATACCTTCAAATCAATTGTTTTTTTTTTGAATCAATTCGTCGCTTGTCAAAGATGCAATATTTTAAGGTGCCAACCTTGGTCACGTCGAATGGATTGAACTTGTTTTGAGCGGCCTCTTCAAATGTCATCACCTTCAAATTTTCAGCTATATTTGATCATATGGTTGATTATCAATGCATACAGATCAGTGCTTTTATCGATCATGAGTATCGATTATTTTTCATTACTCCTTCCACAAACCACTTTATTCAGCATATGTTGAAAGCAGTGTTAAAAATGACAATTTACACTTTATTTCAGTTTTTCATAAGCCAACATCGAATTTTTAAATTCAACATGCCCAGGTTCGATGGTCCTTGAATATAACAATTCAAATCTGTCAGCTAAATACATGAGTCACTAAAGCTTAAACTAGATTGCTTAATTGAATTGTTATATTCAAGGACTATTAAACCGTATATACGAAGGCTCGATGAATCATTTGCCTTGTTGCTTGCCTTACCTTGCGACCTGTCTTCACTCTCTATTAGGGTGCAGATCAACCGATTTCCGTGTTTCTCTATTCCGCACAGACCTTTTCCATCGCTGAACGAACAATCTGATGAATGGTTCGTCCCATCTTGTATGTGGCCCACTTAGGGGCCTTTCCACTTCTCTTGGAATCCACTGTATTCGATTAGTCCAATGGTTATTCTTGCAATATGTCCTGCCCATCTTCTTTTACTGTTATATATTTCGCGCTGATTCTCACGGACAGGTTTTGATCTGTCAGGACTGTTTGGTATCTGCTTGCCTTAATGACTATCAAATGGGAAAAAAACAAAACCTGTATCATGAAATTCCACATTGGGTAGTTACCATGCTCAATATTATCGTATAAATCGCGAATTGAATAGTCAGGATCTTCACCGGCAAGTCGTCTGGCAAGATCAGCCGACAGATTTCGAATTCCCTGTGCAGTCTGTAAAAGGCATGAGCAGTCCACTGCAAATTCTCTCATCTCTTCTGGTATAACGATAAAACATTGATGAGGAACAAGACTGGAACAATTTGGAAGAAATCTTTTCGACTCGATAAAGGTTTTATTAAGGAATTCAGTTCGATAAGTAATTTTATTGGTCACAGTTGCAGCATGGATAAAGCTACCGGTATCCTCAGGTTTGCTCGGTAACATGTGGATTACTTTGCACCATTCGATTGCTTAGAATCTCTACTTTAAGAATATTATATATTTTGCCGAGCAATTTCCATTAGATGAGGAGATATAGCTATTTTCCCAATGCTATATGGGTTGCCAGGTTCGAGCCTACCGTATCCTCAAGTTTGCCCAGTAACATGTGAATTTTTTTTACATCAGTCGATCCCGCTGGATCTCCTCATCCAGAAAAACATATATTTTTTCGAGTGATTTTGCTTACTTGAGGAGATATAGTAATTTTCTTGAAGCTATCTCAACTAGTGCAATCGTGTTCCAAAAAAAAAGAAGTGGTAAATCAAAATAAAGAATTGGATAAATGTTGTTGAATGCACTAAAACGCGAACAACCTTCATATGGAATTTACAATAGACCGCTTGGCCGTCTTGATTGACCAACTTGAACGTATGTGAACCGTAACCATTCATATGTCTAAAACCGTCGGGTGTGCCTCGATCACTGAACAGAAACATTGATTGATGTGTTGATTCTGGACGCAACGAGAAGAAATCCCAAACCATATTTGGATCCTTAACAAGTCGATTGGAGTTCGATCATAACATTGTTCCAATTCAATTTAGCAATTTTGAATTAAACTCTAACAATTTACCAATCCATTTAAATCCTTTAAAGCATGATCGATAGTCTATCACTTCTTTTATAATCATTGATACTAGTGAGAACGTTGCATGAGTGCTATTATTTCTTTTAGTTTCGAATAAATGAATATATGAATTGATCAATCACACAAAGTCCCAGCATCTCATTGTCCACTAGGCTAAATTCATTCTTCAATTTCAATTTTTTTGTTGTGTCGGTATCGCTTCGATTTCAAGCAATATGCGTAGCTGTTTCGTTTCATGACAGTTGCAGTTTGCTTCCAACCTTCTAAGTTTGTTGCTTCGGCATTGATTAATTGTTAGTTGCTTTCAATGATAAGTGAGAATTTCCCTAGTAAGACTCTATCGCGATAGAATCAACGAAAGTGAAGAACCTTTAGATGTGTGACAGGATTTCGTTTTTGTGTATGAATGAAATTCGGAAAGAAGATCGGATCACGAATGAAGAATATCGGCGTATTGTTGCCAACCAGATCCCAGTTTCCTTCTTCGGTGTAGAATTTCGTGGCGAATCCACGTGGATCACGTTCAGTATCGGCACTTCCTGCTTCACCACCTTAAAATCAATTTTGTCTTTGAGTTCATTTGAGTTCATAATATATCTATCCGTTCACTATAGTCTGTGCATGAGTGTTTTGTTAAAAGTGACTCTTCGAAACGAAGACGATGTCACTTCAGCTTTAATTCTGACCTCTTCAGGTTGGTTGATTGTATTTGAGATCAAACTGAATGGAAACCAGAAACTTTTCCTTTTTGTTACAAACAAATTTCGAATATTCATTTGTATCCGCTGTGGTTTTTCATCAAAAAAATGAGATCAGCAATTGATCTACAAAAATGCTATGTGATCAGACAATAGATACATAAACAAGGTGGTGATTTTGATTTGTATAGAACATGAAACATACCAACAGTTGAAAAACGCATGAAAACAGGTGTTTTCTTGCCAATTTCACTGAACAGATCGGCTTTACAGTACTTCGTTATGTCATGGGTTACCTCAAAATATCCATGAGCACCTATAACAGAACTGGATATCAAAATTACTATCATAGGAAACATTTCCCGGTGATAAACTAAGTCTTCAAATAAGGCAACTCGAAGGGATCACATATGAATTGATTAAGATATTGTTTCTGTCATTGTACCTATTGCAAGTACTTTCGGATGAACTTATACATGAAATATAAATGAAATTTTTAAAATTTTTCGATCAAATCTCTCGAAAAATAGAAGCGCCGCACCCTACGAATGGCTCAGATTTTCCGCTAGAATTTTTTCAATCTCCAATCGAGTATTTCAAGGGTTGACTTTTATGAAGTACCCTAATGGGTGGAATGAAGCGCTGATGATAAAATGTGCCCTGATGGTCTAAGTTGGGGTATTTGGACTTGTGAATGTTATTCTATTCTGATCAACTGCAAGTTTTCGTTTGCTGACCTCCGCCTTTTGCATGCACGACTCGTTCTGGGATGCGTTCACGATCGAAGTGTGCCATCTCGTCCATGTAAATGACATCCTGCAGAAGAATTGGACCACGGGGACCAATTGTCAACGAGGCTTTCTTTTCGAATATCGGTGCTCCGTTCGATGTGGTCAGCACGAACGGTTTCTGAATACAATGAGAAGTGATCTCATTGGAGTATTATTGAATCATTTCCTTGAATTGGTGGACAGTTTCTGTGAGCAATTCTTTCTGATTTCGATCATGCATTCGATTCATGCTTTCATCCATTTCATTGGACAGTATTTATGACAATATTCCAGCTAGGTGCCTTGTAATGCGCTGGTATAAGACTATTGATGTGATGCACTCAAGAATAAGAATCCCCAAAGATGACTGAAATTGATTCACGTGTTAGCATTCAAGCATTCCCAAAAATGCTATCTGTATGCCAGACTCCGAGATGACTTCACAAGCCTAGGTAAAGAAATATTTTGCTGATTCACGGTTTATTTGCAGTTTCTTAAAGCTTGATCGAGCCAACTTCAAGTGGCGACAACCACTGATTTACTAGAGCAGAATGCTCGTTTGATTGCACTATACACCTCTGAACATTTGATACTGTATTCTTTCAATTCCCTATTGTTTTTACTGTCATTTGATCGCATCTGATTTCCAGTTTTTAAATATTTCGACTTTAGTGCTATTCAGATCTTTTTTTTGGGTCTGATTGTTCGATTGCTCAAATTTCACGAGCATTGAATAAACTGCTGGATGCTGTCGAATGTTCGTCATGGCACATCATCGTTTGAAAACACACAAAAAATATCTTATGGGCTGATGAAAAGATTCTCGGTGATGATTTGAAAATTTGGGCAAAGGAATACCAATTAAATGGATGCATTTTGAACTAACATCATGTGAGGCTTTGTATTCACTCAGTTGGTCTCCATGTGATTTTCCTTTAACATTTGCCATTTCAGTGATTGTTTTTGCGAATGAATTGATTGAACAAGCGATTGATTTTTCACTTTGCACTGATGAGAATTATTCCAGCTGAAAATTTTTCTTGAACATTCGCTTTAAATTTCTAAATATAGAACATTCGGTGAAAAAGCAGAGAGTACGGCCAGATATCAAAATCACCTTACATACTGGCCATGGAAACGCGAAGAATCACGCTCTGAAAGTACAGAATAGAGACAGAAAACCTTCGAATTAACGCTCTGAAAAAGTACTGCCACTTTAAAATACTCGTCTTACAAAAGCATTCATTTGATTATGTCATCAGTATTTTGTTTTTTTATCAAATCGAAAACATTACACGATTATCGATTGGAATGATATTCGTTTAGGA